CCAGAGTCACTGGTAATCTTAAGACAGCCTGTTACAAGCCGGCGTGTTTTACCGGATAGGGTAATTAGGAACGATCAGGAACACGATGCTCGTCCTTTCCATTATCCAATCGGCCTTACCATATATGTATACAAGTAGTCGTCTTTAAGTCTTATTTACAACCTTGCACTACGAGCAACAGCTCAGATTTCACCGGTGAAATTAATCATCTGTGCTCCGTTCTTCCATTATCGAAGATTCCATTTGTCGAATGGTCTGGATCAGCGTATCGGTAGTGAAATATAATCGGTGGATCACCGTTCAGGTCATTTTACCTTCCGCTGTACTTTCATTCAACAGATATAATAGCTCGTTCCCATGGAACTTTCGTTAATAATAGTTAATTGATGAGAAAAAGAAGCTGGCATTGTGCCGTCGATTATCCTGAAAATTGAATTCCACGTCGCCATCAAGGCCCGGGGCTGACGATCAAGTTTAATCGATGAGAAACGGACTCTGGTGTGTGGAAATACGCGCGTCTGAAATCGCCATGATTCATACAAGCAACTTGCTAGTACCTACGTTGAAGAGAGTCGAACGACTCACAGACGGTTCTGCCTGACATTTTCGCAAGGACTTCTTTCTGTCGATGACGGTATAACGCCTGGTCCGGGAATAGATCAACGATCGATCACTTCCTTCGTTCGCGCGTCTGTCTTTGAATTTCTAATTTCAACACGTCTTTCCATTCTTCCAACCCCTGGTCCACACAGAGGATCGTTAATTTTTCATTTCCCTCCTCGTGAAAACACTATTAAACCACAAGTGAAACAAGTTGAAATTTCCAAAGGCTTTACCACCGCTTAGCTACTGTTCTCTCTCGCCGCCGCGCCGTTCCGTTTGACAAGCGATTCCACGGACAATCTAACGAGCATCGTTTCATTTCTCTCTTTTCAGATCACAATAGCGAGGCACAGCACCACACACGCGGCGCAAATACCCCAGCAACTGCCTACGTGTGAGTATACACACCACTTTCTAATTGTCAGCGATAACTAATTAGCCGAGGTCAATTAACCGAGAACCTCTTCGATGTTAGCAAGGGTGGTGGGGGATGAATTTTCTCCGGCATGGAAAACGCTTCCTGTCGGATCAAACGGTAGCGACGATCGGATAAAAAAAGATAGAAAAACAAGTGGACGCTTTCTAAAGCGCACAATAAGCCGAGGATGACAATGATTCTTGGAACAATAACCAGCTTACGAACGAGTCTAATTAGTCCAGCAGGGAGCGGTTCCCTTGATTGATCGGGACCTGTTCAATTAATTACACTCGCGGCTAATTACGGGGCTAAACGAACTAATTAAAGGGACATCTCAATCCCTGTTTCGAGAAAAATTCATATTTCTTGCGAGCGGCAAGTCTCAATTTCGCAAAAATTTCCTTCGTAGACGCGTAAAAGGAATGTTTGTATCAGTTTGTCGCTCGGTGGAAAAGGTGCGTTCGCGTCGAAATCACCGCGGTGGAATAATAATTGAAAGAAAGGGAAAAGAATGGTCAAGAAGAGAGGCTTTCCAGACGAGCGACGACCTTCCTTGGAAGACATTGCTTTTGCTGGAAGGTGAACGCAGCCGTGCGACCTAGATTCTCATGTGGCTGGCAGAGAAAGATGCCGGGAGTAGAAGAGAAAGAGGCTGAGACGAGATGTACACGGTACGAAACGAGATGACGATTCCTACCTCGACATCGATGCGAATCGAAAGTGTACTCTCCCTCCCCGCGTGTAACCAGCGGCCAAACACTTTCAACCTTTTACCTTTTACCAACCTGTTATTCCATCCGGAATTTCACCTCGAAAAATCTCTCACAGTGGAAAAATTGATTTTTCGCGGACCTCTCTCTGAACGTAAACCCATTTCGACAGAATCATTTCGTAATACGTGCAGATATTTCACAAAGGATCGCGTTTAAAATTCCGCGTCGATCTCTGACGAAAACGTTGCCTGCTTTACGTGGAGTCACGTCATATGGATTACTTGCACGAGTACCAAAGTATGCGGCGATAAGATCGATTTCTCTCTCTCAGCCTTTGAAATCGATTATACCCTCGGGCAATATACCCTCCTTTTACTTTCGTTCCATCGATATTCACGACGGATGGTAAATTAAAAAAGAGAGAGAAAAAGAGAAATATTACGGTGAAAAAGACGCGTAATTGAGTGAAATAGCACTGTCGTCGCGAGACGTGAGAAAAACCAGGGAAAAATTCAACCTAGTGCACTTAGAAACCCAGTGTGTAATGGATTTATGTAACAACGCCGATTACGTCTCTTCGAACGGACGATTAACGAGTCGGACTGCTTTTTATCGCGATGCTAGACGAATCGAAAGTGCCCCCGCTTCTCGACTTTTACTTTTTATCGTACATACCAGCAGGACATCGAGAATACACAGTGTGTTACGCCCTGAAAAGCGCGACGAACCTAACGATTATTAATTTGTCACTTGGAGCGGCCAGAAACCGAGTGTGCACCTCGGTTTCCGCTTTGAGGAGCATCGAGGGTACACGGCCAGCCTCGAATACCTTGACTTTTATTTCTTCGACTTTCAGTCCTTTTCTTCCCTCTTCAATTTTCTAATTACTTTCCCTGCGAGATTTTTCGCGGTTTTTTTTTCCTCCACTACGTCGGGAAATGTCAGTCTTGTAACGAACTCAGGTGTCATTGTTCAGAGGCTCGTTTGTTTGTTCTCGGAGGAGAAACCGCGCCTCGAAAGAAAGTTGTTTTTTTTCCTCCTCACCATTGGCGTTTGCATGCGAACAAGTTTCATCTCTTCCAGCAAACATTCGCGTCCTGTTATTATCATTATCATCCGCGACAAAGTGCGCATTGTCTTCTTCAATTTCGCTACGAGTCACGGGCTCGAATTATCGATAGTTCGATACGGCGGAACTTTTTAATTTGGCATTGTTCTCCTGGAATATAGCACGAGAACCGACCATTTACTCAATTAACGAACGCACAGTGATTTCCTTTTGTACGTTCACTTTTCATTTCGCCCCTATCGCCCGTCCAAGGTAAGCTCCAAGGCCGTTTCTATTCGCACGCGTTCGTCGTCACTCTAATCACGTTACCAACCTAACCGAGTGTAAAATTCCTAAATATACGTCTACGAAATTGAAAGATCAACGTCTGCGTATCCACGGGATATGATCTGCCCGAGGGCGACTATAATTAACAAACGAAAAAGTCGAATTAATTATTCATCGACGTGATTACGCGTCGGCTAATCGAACCTCGTGCTCTTTAATTTATACTACATCGCCGCTACACATGTACGTAATCGATACAGGAGTCTCGATTAACTTTTATCATCCAATCGGGGCAGTCTCCGTGAACCTATAGATCTAAAGCTACATAGATCAGGTGGTTAGAAATGACTCAGACTATTTTTCATTGTACTATACATTAGTCTTTCTTTCGGCTAAAACGATCGGCTTTATCGGGAACATCGGGAACATGGTTCCTCTGGACCATATATAATCATCAGACCACGTTTATGGGATAATTTAATTGGCGTTTTACGAGAACGAGTAAATCTCTTGGTTTCTGATTACGCTAAATCTCTTAATACGTCCAACATCGAGCTCGTAATATAGATAGATAGAGTCCGTGAAATACGAATGTAATTGGTTTTGCTTGGATAAAGAAGCGGAGACGTCTGTGATTTACTCGATAATTGATATACATAAAAATCTGGATTTTTATATTCCCACATGCCACTTAGAATGGATCGGAAGGTATTCCGATAGCACATTCTTCGGTATACAATTTTCGTACACCTGACGAGAGATTGTAGTATCTAGAACGGTGATTTACTTGCAAGAAAGAACACCACCAGGACACCGTTATTTTAGGCGACCTCAAGAGCTATAGGTTAGCCCGTGTATCCGTGAAACATCCGTATTTCTGGCATAATGCTCGTAATAACACACTCTTGTAACTGTACGTTTCGCGAATCCATAATTATCCAGCTCGAGCTACGGTCAGTTGGATCGTAAATAGAATAGAAGGTATAGTAAGGGGTTATAAATGATTCTGGTTAATGACGATTGCAGGATTATTAAGCGGTCAACGACGCTTCTTTCCTACGGAGTTCCGTTACACGCGAATTCATTCCCAACGATCTTCGCTTAACGAGATTCGTCTATCGTTGTTTTCTCTCTCTCTCTCTCTCTCTCTCCCTCGTTCATCTATAAAACCGTATATCGATAAAAACGACCCTCGTCCCCGTACGTGCGTCGTGTGTAACAAGTTCATTTCGTTAAAAGCTGAATTACCAAACAGCGAATATATCAAAGTGGAAACGATTCGTACAGCTGTATTCGTCGAGTTACAAGGGAATAGTAAGAAAAGAAAGAGGGCGTATGTTTAAGAGAAAGAAAACAACCTGGCTAATTCAACGATTTATAAAAGAAATCGATGCACGTCCCGACGTTGTCCATTATTACACGAACCATCGAGTATCTGGAGAGTTTCTTCAGGATCGTTATCTTCGATGGTCGATCTGTCGATCGTTCATGGTGATTTTTCCTACGGAAAGAAATGTTGAATAATTTCTAAACGGCTAAGAATGCCCCTCTTCTCAAAGAGGAAAAAGCGGATCGATTCTCGAGCAGAGGCCTGTTTGCAGAGAGAGAGAGAGAACGAAGAGGAGGCGTACTCGATAGTCGGCGGAGGATGCAAGCTTCCGTAGAAGGGACGCAATGGATCGTAACGATCGCGTGGATCAGCGCGCGGTGGATCCTTTGGAGCGAGGCCATCGATCACGCGGCCGAAGATCGCAACGGAAGATCACCTCTTAAGTGATTCATTGTTTTCCACCGGGTTTACTCGTCACTTATATCGCAGTTCTACTACTCGTCACCGAGTCCTCTTTGTTCGATCGGGACAAATAGGGGAGTAGAAGCTGCGTGGTCATCGTTACTTCGTCGGATTGGACGCGCTTAGTCGCGCTTCACCTATGTATTTACAATTAAACGATCGAGGAGAGAAGTAAAATTGGAGGATGTGTCGGGATATCCAAGTGGAGAAAGATAAAGAAAGAAACAATTCTCGTGCTCAACAAGCAAGGAACTGTTATATTTCACGCTGACAGGGATCACGCGAGGCCTGAAAGGGCCTTGACAATGGAGGAACGCGAAGACAACGGAGTAGAAAAACCGCAAGCGGGCAGAATATCGGGGACCATGGAGTACCGTTCCCCTCGAAGAAGACGTATCTGAACACCGATAACGGTATCCATCGTGTAGAATCCGCTGGACAATTCAGCCGTGCCGTTTCTTTCGTTGTTCGCGGACGTCGTTTGCGTAAGAATCAATTTGGCCGTGCAGCGGTGCCCCGTTAGAAACGTGCACAAGGGTACGCATGCTTGACCACGTCTCCTCGACTTGCCCGTTAAAACGCTTCCTTGATCGTCAGTTGGAGGAGGGAGATCGTCGACGAGTTAATTAAACTGCCAACAGGAAAATTAGAGAGAGAGAGAGAGAGACTAGAGAAGACTAGTGTTTCGTTGGGAAACAGAATAATTGTCGATTCCAACAACAAGTCAACGTTAACAAAATTTCTTTTTATTTCAAGGAAAAAAGAAAAATAGAACCTTGAAGTATAATAATAGAAACTGTACGCACTTAGAGAAAGAAGATCCCCGTCACGAGCGATCGCGTGGTTAATTAGCGCAATGATTAAGGTGTTCGATCTTCGGTTAATTTATTCGCAGATTAGTCTCGCCACGGAACAAAGGAATCTTTCGCACGAAAACCGTCGAAGCGCGGAGACGGGGTCCTTGAGATCCAGTCGAGGAATGATTGGATGGAATCGACGGCATCCGTCGACGATTCACCGTGACCAGATATAGTAATGACGTCGTTAATTAGCTCGAGAGTGTTAGAGCCACGACTACAGGTGAGTCGCGTCTCACCTCGAGGAAATTGGAAGGTCAGGTGGAACGAGGTGGTGG